CAGAATACAGAAATCTGGCTTTCTGCCCTGATGCTCCAACCAATTAGCATCTTATTTGAGCCTGAGATTCTGCCCCTATTGAGAATGTTAGTGGTAGCCCCATGAAGGCTTTGCAAAGAATAAAGTAAATAAAAGAAAACAGTGTTATTTGCAAGCCCCAGGTGAAACCATTTAGGTAGTAACTGACAAAATAACAGAATGAAATGTAGGTTATTGTAGATTTCAAGTTTATTTTTACCATAGTCACATTTAATTTTACTCCATCCCAAAAGAATTAAACTCTCCTAAACCAAGAAAACGCTACAAAACCTTTATAATACTTTCGCATGAGGAATTAAGGAGAAAATTATTCGCGAGTCTAATCATGACTCTGCAGAACAAGAAAGAACCTGTGAGATGCAGACGCTGGCGGGGGATGGACAATAAGACCACTGGGTGAACTACTTTCAAGTGAAGTGCCCAGTAATACAGTTGCCGCTTACTAAGAAGCGAAGATTCAGTATTAAGAAGGTTCAAAATTTGACAACTATTTTAAAAATTACGTCCAGTAAGCAATCTTCTTTTATGTTCCTGGCCTTTACGTAAATATCCCAACCATTTGAAATCACAACTCAAAAGCGTGAAATATAAAAGAATAAGCTGTTCTGGAAAACCACAAAAAGGATAGTAACAGTATATCTTCATTCAATTTAGGAAGGGCAGAACTCTGCAAAATGTACCGGTGGGAGGGAATGAATGATTCCATTTGGAGGGAGTTTTGGATCCCCGCAAGAACTCGCAAGAACTGGTAGCAAGTGCACGGCATTTCTAATGAATTTGCACTTTTGCTCTGCCCAGGCTGCAGTTTGCAAAAACCCTCTGGGAATGAGCACCGGCGCGAAGACATCCAGAAAACGCCAGGATAAGCACCACCTCGGAAGCGGTCAGAACACAAGGCACCTGGAGGGCTGCAGACCTAACACCACGTCCTTCGCACTGGGCCACCCTTCACCACAGCAGCAGCGTCAGGGTGGGGGTGCCCTACTAGAGAGAGGACTGGGGCAGGGCGCCCCAAATAAAGAACGCTCGGCGGGTGGCGGGGAAAAACTAACCACCACCCTTCTCAACCCGCCTCACCTCCACGCTCTGTTCATCCATTGCCTCCGGCTCTCGGCGGGGCCCTCGGCGACCCGCGGAGTCAGTGGTCTGACCTACTGGGCGCCGGCCCGAGGTCGCCCCGTCAAATAGCCGACGAGAACAGCCCGGCGTCCACGTCAGGGGGCTCCGACGACCGTCCCACCTGCGCGCCCCATCGCGTCGGGTTCGGCGCCAGCTACCCCCACTTCGCCATATTTATCCGCGCACCCGCCCTAGGGCGCAGTGGGAGAGGCGAGCGGTGGCCACGCTCCTTCCTCACCGCTAAGCCGGCAGCCAGCAGCCGCGAGGCAGCCTCGCACCACGTGACGCGGGCGCGCGCGTAAGGAACTGCTGCTAGAGCCCAGCGGCGCTGGTCTCCAGCGAAGAAGGTGCTGCAGGGAATTCGCAAACACCAACCGTAACCAGGACAGCCGAAGGCGTGGCGGCGAGGGAAGGCGCGCTGCGCATGCGCGCAGGACGCTGCGTTAGGGGAGCGGAGTGAAGAGAGGCGGGCGACAAGTTCCCGCGGGTGCGGGGGCGCACACGAGATTTGGCTGCAAGCCGCCGCAGCGATGCGTGCCTTTGGCCTCAGTTAGGCGCAGGCTGCCGAGAGCTTTCGGCTTATATGTGCGTCACCCCTCCACGCCCCACTTCCCGAGAAGGGCGGCGCTCCACCGGTCTCAAATTTAGCGCGCCAAAGACTGGAACCACCTGGAGTGGTGGTGGGACGCTGACTCCGCAGCCACACCCCTAGGTATTCAGACTCCGTGATTCTAGGGTGCTGTTCCACGAAATTCGCGTCTTCAACAGCCACTGTCGCTGATTTGGCCAGGTGGATTGTGGTCCGCACCTTTAAGAAACCGTGGTGGATAGGATTCGAGGCTGGTGGTTCTTTTCCTGGAAGGAAGCCCGGGCTCTAGATTTTGAGACGTCCGCCCCACCGACTCAGAGCTCCAGATTGTGAAGCCTAGAGCGGTGTAGTTTCTTATTTTAGGGTTGGGGGAATGGAACCACAAACCGTAGAGGTCAGATCCACACCGCTCTACACTGCATCTCTTGCCGTCCTAGGTGAGCTGTAGCTATGGGACTATGGAAAGTGCAAGAACTGTGTTCAGCTTTACTATGTTGGCGTGTTCTTTATACAATTTTCTGTCATGCGAGGTCTAAAGATAGCAGGAATTGAAAGTGAGACAGAGGGTTTATATCAAATTCTTAATTTGTATTTAATTTTTCCTTTGTGATTTATTGCAAACTATTACACTTAATCCAATCTAGAGTACACATATAAAGAGCCAACGATAACCTTGAAAGTTCTTAAGTATCAAGAGATTTGGACTTTCTAATAGTGGGCAACAGTTCCCTTTATACTATGCGAGGCATGGACAGGGATTTAATTTAGTAAGATTAATCTGTGACTGAAAAGGTCTTTAACTAGAAATTATTTATGGTCGTGATGTTTGCATGCCACAATCTGCACTAAAACTCCCTCAACTGTACACTTTAATAATGGGTAATGGTTAATCTTGTTACGTGAATTTTACCTCAATTAAAAAAAAATTATTTGGGGGCGCCTGGGTGGCTAGGTCCTTAAGCGCCTGCCTTCGGCTCCTATCAAGATCCTAGTGTCCTGGGATGGAGACCCCTGGCTAGCTCCCTGCTCAGCGGGAAGCCTGCTTCTCCCTCTCCCCCTGCCTGTGTTCCTTCTCTCGCCATTTCTCTGTCAAATACATAAATAAAATCTTTAAAACAAATTTTTAAAAATAATAATTTGTGGACCACAGTATTGTACTTGGGATTCAACGAGTAATGAAAAGTGAAAAAATAAGACAAATTATTACATGTGATAAATATTTAAAAATTTTTTACTAATAGATATATTTGCCCAAGAACCCAAAAATGTTTAGATTTATTGCAGTAGTTCATAATAATGGAAAAACTGGAAAACCTATACAATTAGGGGTCATCAGTTGCAACCACAAAGTCAGATTCTGGCTAATTTAAGCAAAAAAGAATTTAGTCCAGGGAGGATGCTAAACCACCACATGGAGTTGGGAAACCTGTGATCTTGCTCCATCAGAATTCCTTAAGGGCCAACCTAGCTGCCTTTCCCCACCCACGCCTGGACAAATCTAACTTGTCTATTATACAGTCTATCAATGCCTAGCAATAAGAAAATGGAAAAATCATGGTATATCCATATATTGATTACAGCTGTTCAAAAGAATAGCAGATGTATGTCATGAAAATATCCAAAATATATTTATAATAAAAAAAACTTAATTGCAGCTGCAGTACAACATATGGTATCAACTTATTTTTGTAAAAAAAAATTATTTTTAATTTGCATATATGTACAAACATCTGAAGAGACTGCAGATAATTTCTGGAGAATAGACATACTTGTATTTTTTAATTTCCTAAAATTAAATTTGTATTAAAAGATAAAATTAATTTGTATTACTTACAACTTAAGACATTAAAAACACTATAGTCACATAGAAAATAATTACCCAGGTGAGAAATACAAGACCTAAATTAGGATAGTAAAAGTGAAGATAAAGTGGAGGTTGGATACTCAGAACATTTCAGAAAGATTTTATTGACTAAGATAAAGGGACGGGTGCCTGGGTGGCTCAGTGGGTTAAAGCCTCTGCCTTCAGCTCAGGTCATGATCCCAGGGTCCTGGGATCGAGCCCCACATCGGGCTCTCTGCTTAGCGGGGAGCCTGCTTCCCTCTCTCTCTCTCTCTCTACCTGCTTCTCTGCCTGCTTGTGATCTCTGTCAAATAAATAAATAAATAATCTTAAAAAAAAAAAAAAGATAAAGGGATGCAAACTTTTTAATTCCACATAACAAAACAGTGCCCACTGACAAAATTAAATCAGGAAGTACTCGGGACGTGATCAATTTGAATATTCAGGTAGTCATTTTTATTGGAAATTTGTATCTAGATCTAATGGAAGAAGTTATATCTGGGAATCATCCACAAAGAGTCAATAAATGAAACTTGGGAAGCTAATGTATATTATAGAGAAGTACGCAGAGAACAGTTTTCAGGGGACTGAGAGAAAGAACCAACATTTAAAACACAACTGTGAAGGAAGTCACAGAGGAAAAACTCCAGGAACTTGCTATGATACTAGTATTATGATATGATAGTAGTATGATACTATTATTTTTTAATTCCACTAATCAACATCACATCCCAGAGCCATTCCAGGATAAAAACTTCCTTAATATTAACTGCCGGAGTACTGAAGAAAATGTGTTACTGAAGTGTGACTTATTTCTCTGTAATTTAAAAAATAGGAGTTTTCTGTTCTTTAAATATTCAAACTGCACAGTACAATTTTAACTGAAGCTACTCTCCCAACCCTGTTTATCACCTATTACAAGTTTGTTAATGGGCAAATAAAATGCTCATAACAAATTTTTAATTACATGAAAGTATAATTCTATAACCTGCAGAATATTTGATGCATTTTTCCTAGTCTTTTCAATGCCTCATTTTTATTACATATACAGAAATATTCACTGAAGGATTACTAATTATCAAACTCAAACACTTTACCATTCATTGTGCTTCCAGTCATCCTGACACACAGAAGTGATTTGCTCAGGATCCATAGCTAGAATTTAAAACCTGCTATTGGGACGCCTGGGTGGCTCGGTTGGGCAGCTGCCTTCGGCTCAGGTCATGATCCCGGCGTCCTGGGATCGAGTCCCACATCGGGCTCCTTGCTCATCAGGGAGCCTGCTTCTCCCTCTGCCTGCCATTCTGTCTGCCTGTGCTTGCTCTCTCTCCCTCTCTCTCTCTGACAAATAAATAAATAAAATTAAAAAAATAAATAAATAAAACCTGCTATTTACATCTCAGACTCCAAAGCCCAATCTTAATTATAAAACTGAAATCTCTGCTTCCCCTCTTCCCATTTAACATAACTTCAGCATTTCCCAGAGTAATAAGTTATTGGCAGCTTCACCTCTTATTTTATGGATACACCATGAATTATTTTCCTGTTTACCTGCCATTAGCTAGGTATGTGTGTGTACTGCTAGTATAAATAAGCCTGTGATTAACATCTGTCCCTAGATTACCTTATTGCCAATAATTATCTAAGAGTTATTTAAAAATGAATAGGGAAATTCACACAAACACACACACTGGCAAGCAGCAGTTGCCAGTGATCCTCTGATTTCTCTTTCTTAGCTTCCATATAGAATGAGCAATTAACAGTAATACAGGCTGAAGGAGAACAAAGGTAGTGTTGATATACAAAAGAGACAGTCTAAAACAATATTTGAAGTCACAGTTCATGTTGCTCAACATTAGCAGGCAGAAGGAATAGAGGAAAGAAAGTAAGGCTATCACAGAAAAGCCCATTTATTATTACCAAAGTTAGCTTCTGTGGAGGACTAGAGGCCACATACTAGCAGTCTCATCAATAATGTGACCATTATCTATACTCAAAATTTTCAAAAATAAAATTATATACATATGTATAATGTAATACAAATATTTTTTCTATCCTTTAGTTTCCAAAGCATGCTCATTCACATCTGATAGTACATATATCCTTTCTTGATAGGCCAGGACATTCATGTTATCCCAACTACACAAAAATAGGTGCAAAATAGAGTTATGTGACTTCCTTGCTTGAAATTATAAGACTAATTACATGTGATATTTATTTTTAAATCTCTTTATTCCCATTCCATCCTTTTGGCTAAACTTTATTCCTATATCTGCCCTTCTTACAGTTCCCTCTCTTATAAAAGGCATCATTATCCAGTGACCACAACCAAATCTTCTCCATCCTCCCACCTCTAGTCATCAAGTGCTAACAAGACATATTCCTAAATCTTTCTGGAATGGATCTCTTCTTCATCAGAATTCCCTTTTGCAAGTCCATTTCTTCATAAGTCTGACATGAAAGATTTTAATTGTTCTGCCGCAGTTTGCTCTTCTTTACTCAGTGGTGACAGCTAAAAAGCAAATGACAAAATATTTCAAAATCTTTAAAACATGTTTAATTTAATTAACTTCTACTTTTATATTTCCATAAACTCATACTATGTCTATGAGCACAAATTTTGGAAGGCAGGGATAAAAACAGATTTGGCTATCTAGATACAAGGTACTTTTCATGTCTGAGCTTTCAAAGAACTTGCAATTAAGTTGAAGAAACAAGACCAAACAGTTTAAGGATTGTCATTTTTTAATTTTTTTTTTTAATGAAACAATAGCCATTTTATTATGTTCATGGAATTGGGATCAGAAATTCAGGCAGGGCACAGTGGGGATGGCTTGTTGATGGTCCAAAGAGGAATTCAGTTGGGAAGACTTAGTAGCTGAAGGACGATTAGTATGGCTGGAATCTGGGATCATCCAAAGCTTCCTCATTTATAAATTTAGCACCCAAAATGGGGTGACTTGAAGACTTGGCCCAACCAGGCTTGTTAAGGGCTGTAGTTTAACAAAACTAAAGAAGTCACATTTGAATGCCATATTCTAAAAGCATCTTGAAAAAGAAATGTGAACAAGATAGTCTGGAAGTTTCCTCAAAATTGGAGACTTGAGCTAAATTTTGAAGGATAATTGAGATGTTTTTAGCTGCAAGTAACAGGAACACATTTCAAAATGGAATAATAAATTTTATTATTTATTATTATTTTAATAATAAAATTTATTACTGCACAATAAATACAGAAAAAGGGCAGACTTCAGGACTGGTTTATTTAGCAGCTCAATTAAAGACTCATTTTTTCCACTTTATCTAATATCCTTGCCTGGTGGCTTTATTCTCAGATGATTAGAAAAATGGTCCAAGCAGTGCTAGGAATCATGTCTATACACAATGTTCAAAAGAAGCATTTTTTCTTCCCACAGGTCTCTCAGCAGTGAGGAAACTCTAACTTCCTACTTCCAAACTTTCCCTCCTCACATGCCATATGAGTTACAAATCCATTCCTGAACCAATGTTAGTTAAAGGAAAATCCATTCCTCTTGCCAGTCAGATACCACCCCAGGAAGCTGAGGAAAGCACCAACTTTACCTTGGGCACAAGTGAGGGATAGCACACATCTCCAGGCCGGTATCCTATCTGGCAGCAAGGGAGAACAAATGCTGAGAAAACTACCCAGCAGACAGTATCCACCAAGAGCAGGTAGGAACAAAAGCAGAGGGGCAAAGAAAAGCCAAAAGGAAGTTTATAAAGGACTTCCACATAGCAATAACCAACAGGCTAGCTAAAATAAAGGGTTAACGGGGAAATTATTAGAGATGCAGCATGAAAGAATTAAAAATTAAAGTTAAAACTCTGCCTAACTATATAGGTCATCTCTAGAGAGACTGCCAAATCTGGAACACACCATACCTACAGAATAAGAATCTCTAGAGCAGTGCTATCCAGAACTTTCTGTGATATGGAAAATATTCTGTATCTATGTAGTCTAATCAGCAGATGAAGAAATGAATTTTTAATTTTATCTAATTACTTTACATTTTAATTTATGTAGCCACATGTGGCAACTGGGCTGCCCAGCTGGTTTGGCTAATCGAGCCAACATTTACCAAAAATGTTCATATGTATAAAATGAAAAATAATCATGGGCCTTACTGCAACCCACATTGTTACAGAATGTCACTCTTCTATCTCAAAAACAGGATGGGGTGCCTGGGTGGTTCAGTGGGTTAAAGCCTCTATCTTCGGCTCAGGTCATGATCTCAGGGTCCTGGGATGGAGCCCTGCATCCCCCATAGGGCTCTCTGCTCAGCAGGGAGCCTGTTTCCCCAACTCTCTCTGCAGGTCTCTCTGCCTGTCAAATAAATAAATAAATAATCTTAAAAAAAAAAAACAAAAACAGGAAATGGTTCTGGAGAGACTTTGTGAGTCCATGTTTGTCTTTGTGATAACTGTTCAAGGGATTTCAGACCATCCATTTCATAAACTTTCAAAGAATTTTTCTAGGAATTAACCAATCCAAAACTTGTAGAAAATTTTCTTCCTTAACACAAATATTTTAGAGCATCAGTGAAATATCACACATTCTTTGTTTTTTTGTTTGTCTGTTTTGACAGAGAGAGTACACACAAGAGGGGTAGTGGAGAAACTTAAGCAGGCTCCATGCCCAATACAGAGCCCAATGTGGGCGGGGGGGGCTCAGTCTCATGACCCCGAGATCACAACCTTAGCCTAAGCCAAGAGTTGGGCGCTTAACTGACTGCACCACCAAGCATCCAGGCACACCATTCTATTTTTAATGCCTTTTGAATTATATTTGTTTTAGGGGTTTGTTTTGTTAATTTTTATTCTGGAACAAATCTAGTCTTTTTTTTTTTTTTTGGTCTTTTGGCAGTCACCTTTATAATTAAGTGTATTTAAACCTTAATAGCTTAGGCCACCTGGGTGGCTCAGTCATTAAGTATCCCACTCAGTTTTGGCTCAGGTCATTATCTCCCTGAGAGGGGGGAGGGGGAAGGGGGGGGAGAAGGGGGGGCGGGGGGAGCCCAGCAAGGTTCTCCCCACTCAGCAAGGAGTCTGCTTTCCCTCTGCCCCTCCCCCTGCTCATATAGTCTCTTGCTCTCTAAAATAAATCTACAAAAAGAAAAACTTTAATGTCTTCATATTAACTAAAAAGATAAGGAAATACATATTCCCTTCATTTCATCTCCTTTTCTGTTCTCATCTCCCTATTTGTTGTTTAGTATTATCAACCCGTGTACTATTTTTTAATATTACCAATTCAAATGTATTTTCTATCCTTGCAAGTGAAAAACTACGCACCTTGATAAAGATTATATCAAGAAAATACCTGAACAGCTTGACTTTCTATTTCCTTTCTATTGTCTATAAATAAAGCACCATTTGCCCTAAATAGGCTTATCCCTTTTTTGTTCTTCATGTTCCCAAAATAATTTAAAGGGCCTTTTAGCTATTTTAGAAAATTTCAGAAGCCTGGACTTAAGCCTTTGGCTTTCTTAAGTATTCTCACAGTTCTGTCCCTATGACTAATACATCTTGTTTTATACTTCCTTTATGAGGTCTACCTTACATGTCCTTTAAACTCCGAGCTCCGTTACCTGGGTGGCTCAGTTAGTTAAGCATCTGCCTTTGGCTCGGGTCATGATCCTAGGGTCCTGGGATCAAATGGCGCTTTGGGCTCCCTACTCAGCGGGGAGTCTGCCCCTCCCTCTCCCTTTGTGTGCTTGCTCTCTCTCTCTCTCAAATAAATAAATCAATCTTAAAAAAAACACAACTGTGGTCTTATAGAACTATTTCTGGTTATACAACTCTCTAGAGATGGCATTCCCTTTTCTTCCACATTTTGATCATGAAAATTCCTCTAAGCTTTCTACTGTCTCATTTTTAAAGTAGTATGTACAAGATCCATTATATCCAACATTCCCCAACATGGCTATCAATTGAATCTAAAATATGATCTCCTTTTTCAAGGTCTATAACCAACCTTTCAGTCATTTCTCCTTGTTTGTAATTCTGTGATCCAAAGTAAAAGCTCCCTTAGCTTTCTACCTTCAATGTAATTATTGCTCCTTACAGACACTTCTTTTATTTTTTTATTTATTTTTTTTTTTTTGGATAGACACTTCTTTTAAATGAATGAAGATCTTTACAGATATTTAGATGATTGAAATCCTCTATCACTATTATAACTATTTTCTGCACCATTTTTAAATCTCAGTCAGAAATACAGCTTGTATTGATTGTATCCAGGAGGGACAATTTTTAGTTAATATTCAAAATAGGACTTTTCTCTTTTTTCACTCACCTAAATTTATCCTGTGCTTCAATAAATTTATGGATTTCTATATAATATATGTTAATATGTACATCCAGAACTACACCCAGTCTCTTCTCAAGATTTGTTATGTGCTTCTTTTAAAGGTTTTATTTATTTATTTGACAGACAGAGATCACAAGTAGGTAGAGAGGCAGGCAGAGAGAGAGGAGGAAGCAGGCTCCCTGGTAAGCAGAGAGCCCGATGTGAGGCTCAATCCCAGGACCCTGGGATCATGACCTGAGCCGAAGGCAGAGGCTTTAACCTGCTGAGCCACCCAGGCGCCCCTTGTTATGTGCTTCTATTTTCAGGTTCTGATCACCCACCACAAAGAGTATGTGACTTGAGCTGTGTTTATAGAGGTTATCACGTACATACTTTTTTTGCATTTTACATATTAGTAATATTACATATTATAAAACCCTTAATGTTTTAAATTCCTACTTCCTATTCCCTCTGTACCCTTTTTTTTTTTTTTATTCATTTGACAGACAGAGATCACAAGTAGGCAGAGAGACAGGCAGAGAGAGAGGAGGAAGCAGGCTCCTGCTGAGCAGAGAGCCGGATGTGGGGCTCGATCCCAGGACCCTGGGATCATGACCTGAGCCGAAGGCAGAGGCTTTTAACCCACTGAGCCACCCAGGGGCCCCACCCTTTTTAATTGCTCTTTCCTCCTCTACTATTCATCTCCCCAAGACCTAACATCTGAGATACATCTAAGGTATCATTTTATACTTTTAATTGGGTACTGTTCTCTTTTCTGCCAGTGGCAATACAAAGAATTATTGACCAAATTAACCTCAGTAATGAACCCTTAAGGTTAACTCTCACTAAAAGCCCATAATTCAAGTAGCTTAAACCAAATATAGTTCAGGGTTGGCAAATAAATAAATAAATAAATAAATAAACCAACCAACCAACCAACCAACCATGTATGTTGCCCCTAACTGCATTTGTGCAATACCCAGACTCAGTTCCTCAATACAACACTCTAAGAAGCTATTCCCAGTTAATTCATCTGAGTTGACACCAAAAATGAAAACCTATTGGCCATTTTTTGTTCACATAATTAAGCTCTACTCTCTGATTCCAACCACATACACACTGTATTTTCTTTTGAAAGCCCTCAACTTTGCCTTAATAGTAAACGCAAATTTTACCAAATCCTTCTCTAGGCTATTTAAGATCATACTGTCTAGACCAGCAGCTCACACTGTGTTATTTTTTTTTTTTATTTTACTCCATCATATCTGAAGAGTTTTACACAATCAGTGATAGAGGCTCACAATTACAAGGATTTTTACCTGAAATCAGAAGGGAACGGGGGATGGAGGGAGAGAATGAAGGTCACGCTTACCCAAGCTCACCAACTCAATTTAAAAAAGGAGAACTAAAAAAGTCACTGATACAGATGCTTTCCACATTTCTCAGTTTTACTAGTTCTTACAGGAACTGCAAAACTGGTAGATTTAATAAACACTACCAAGTTTTCTCTTCTAACATGACTACATAATCCAAGATAGCACACCTCTTTATTAACTATGTCAAGTCCACATGCTTATTTTTCTTAATTTTTTTAAAAGATTTCATTAATTTATTTGAGAAAGAGGGAGAGAGAGAACATGAGTGGGAGGAGGGGCAGAGAGACAAGCAGACTCCTGTTGAGCAGGAAGCCCCATGTGATGTGGGGCTCGATATAGGGCTCAATCCCAGGACCCTGAGATCATGACCTGAGCAAGTCAGACGCTTAACCAACTGAGACACTCAGGTGCCCCCACATGCTGAAAATCTCATTTCTATCAACAGTTCAAACTGACTACTAAATCTCTAAATGAAAGTTAATGGGGATTTATCTTTCAAAAAGACACTCAGAATTGGGATACCTCAATGGCTCAGTCGGTTGGGCATCTGCCTTTGGCTCGGGTCATCATCTCAACGTCCTGGGATGAGCCCTGTATCAGGCTCCCTGCTCATTTGGGGAGCCTGCTTCTCCTTCTCCCTCTGCCATTCTCTCCTGCTAGTGATCTCTGGCTCTCTCTCCCTGTCAAATAAATAAATAAAATCTTAAAAAAAAAAAAAATTAAAACTCTACAAATCCGGGGGCTCCTGGGTGGCTCAATTGGTTAAGCGACTGCCTTTGGCTCAGGTCATGATCTCAGGGTCCTGGGATCAACTCCTGTTTCAGGCTCCCTGCTCAGCGGGGAGCCTGTTTCTCCCTCTCCCTCTGCTGCTTCCCCTGCTTGTGTGCTCTCTCTGACAAATAAATAAATAAAATCTTTTAAAAAAACAACACCACAAAAAAACTCTACAAATCCAACTTGTCAATTGAGAGCATTACCTCCAGGTCTGTTTGCTTTTGTAGCTCTTGTATCATGGTCATAGTCTTATTGACAGTAGCACAAATGCGGTTCTTAGTCTCTTGCTGCTCTGCAGCAATTGGTTTAAAGCGTGCATGCAAAGTTTGATATCGAGACTTTATTGCTGACAATTCCTTTAAGAGTGTAACTGGATTTTTCTGTATCAGGAAAAAAAATAATATATATATTAAATAGTGAAAAGGAAAAATTAAGCTTCTTTTAAGAATTAAAATAAATACAACACCATCCATTTAATTCTACCATTCATTTAAGTGAACATTGTATTTAATTATGGAACTCTGTAACAGAGGATGGGAGGAGGGGAAAAAAGAATTATAAGACCTAGATCCTATTCTCAAGGAAATTAAAGCTTAGGTACAGAAATAACCCACACATGCACACAAAATAGAAATATTAAAATAAGCAAATAAGGTCACATTAGAAAAAAAAGTCACATAAGATACATAACATTTGATACATATTTCACAATAATTACACAGTATTTTAACAATATAATTCTAAATACTCAGAAGGTGAGTAAAGGAAATATTTTGATTTGTTCTTAAAGAATAAGACAATTTAAAACTACTTATAAAATTCTTAAACATACTGTTATGGGGCTAACGTATGTAGAAGTACCAATTAATAGACCTCACTGTACAAAATTCATGCCAAATCAAGCAACTTTATAAGTTACATTGGTTTTTCAAATTCATTTTAGAGTATAAATAAAAACTATTCCATAAGAGACATTTGTAAAGGGTCCTTTCCACCACTTGGTAATTTACATTCCTAGATGGTTCCTTAGCAAACCCTATAATACTATTCCAAACAGGGCGCCTGGGTGGCTCAGTGGGTTAAAGCCTCTGCCTTCAGCTCGGGTCATGATCCCAGGGTTCTGGGATCGAGCCCCGCATCGGGCTCTCTGCTCAGCGGGGAGCCTGCTTCCTCCTCTCGCTCTGCCTGTTTCTCTGCCTGCTTGTGATCTCTGTCTGTCAAATGAATGAATAAAATCTTAAAAAAAAAAAAAATACTATTCCAAACATTCTCGACTCCCTCCAATTCCCATGCACCCTTTCTTGACACAAGACCTCACCATCTACTATACAGAAAACAGAAAACAGCTAGTACAAACTCCATCTTTCTGCCTTTTCCTCTCGAAAAGGAAAACACCTATGGACATTCTGATCCTTGCTCTGCCTATAGCACTATCACTATTATTGTTGTTTTGTCCCCAAATCCTCCAGATCCTTTAATTTCCTATATTTCTATGACCTTTTCAATTTCTCCCTTTGCTTTTTGTTTTTCTTTGAAGTTTTTATATATTTTTTAGTAATTTCTACATCTAATCTGGGGCTTGAACTCACAACCCTGAGATCAAGATTCATGTGCTCCTCCAACTGAGCCAGCCAGGTACCCCTCAATATCTCCCTGTGTACAGACTTCAAATATGAATAGATGTTCCCTATGCTGGAAGGAAATTAAGTCCTTTTGACTCTGTTGTCGCTTCAAAATCAGTTTTATTCTTCTCACTCCATTTCCACCAGCCTACTAGGTCTTATAATAATACCCTTCCCTAATTTAACACTACATAGACTAGTATCTTTTGCCAAATTATTGTAAACAATCAAAAGGTAGGATTGCCAAATAGCATATAATTCTGATACCCTTCCTTATGCTTCTCTTATTTCCTTCATGTTCCTATCTTCTTAAAATGAACTCTTGATTTCTATAAAACTATACTATCTTGGTTAGCTTCCTACTCTACAGATTATATCCTTCAGGGGCCCTATCTCATGGCTGTGGCAGAGACTTCGTTTATGGTCCTCTTTTCCCTGTTTCTTTGGAGATTTTTAAGTTTCTGATGATGGAAAATCTAAATAAAAATGATTCCCACAGGAAGGGAAAAAGAAGAGAAAAATCTAACTTTAAGACTGTTGAAATAATTCTGCAAGGGATGATCAAGACCTATAGCATGAGCAATAGAAGTAGGACAGGAACAAAAGAGAGACCCCATGAAAACATTTAAAAGATCTTAATGGTATATCTGATGTGAGCAAAGGAATAACAAATGACACCAAATATATCACGTGGTATATAAAGGAATGTGTATATTAGATGCCTACAACTCAGTGTATACCCCAATGATATTGAGACCTATCCTCTGACCTTCAGAGCTATATTTCCCATCATGTTTCTAGATGCTAGACATTGTATTGGATGAAAGAAATACAGTAGAAAAACTGAGAAATACAGTCCCAAAAAACTCCTAGAAGATAGGGGGTAGGAAACACAAAAATGAAAACAGGAAAGAAAAGATAAGAAAAATGGAGGATAGATCCAAGAGGTTCAATATCTCACTGAGATAAAAACATAAAAGAGGTTTTCCTCTGAATATTCTTTTCTTATGAATACAAAAGGTAAGTAAAGTTATAAAATTTCAAATGCATGAGAAGATCTATACCATAACCATTAAATGAGCATAAAATATTCTGAAAGTTCTAAGAGAGATGGGTTCAGGAAGGGGGGGCGGTAAAAAAGGAGGAAGACACAATTAGAATGGCATCAACTTCTCAACAGGAACACTGAAAGCTAACACACACACACACACACACACACACACAACAGTGATGTTAAAGTTAAGAGAAAATAATCTCATCTGGAATTCCATACTCAACCAACCATCCATCAACTAAAAGATTAAATAAAGATTAAATAAAGAAATTTCCAAGTAGTCCTTATATCAAAAAGTTTTAGCCTTTTGTGTACTCTTCCTCAGGAAACATCTAAAGGATACGCTTCACCTGATCAAGGAAATGAACCAAGAAAGAAGACGACATTTGATCCAAAACAGAAGTAAAACAAAGAGAATTACTGAAATGATGGTTAAGAAATCTCAGAAACACACCCACACAGGCGGTCTATAAACAAGAGCACAGATACCACTGGGAGGGATGTGGAAGAAAATGAAACTCAGGGATCATGTGATATGTCGGGTAATGTCGACAAGAGTTTTACAGTTCTTTTAGAGAAGTCTGGGGTTGGGGTGCTTACATGGTTCAGTCAGTTAAGCGTCTGACTCTTGATGTTGGCTCAAGTCATGATAATCTGGGTCCTGAGATCAAGTCCTACACTGGGCTCTGTGCTCAGCCGGGAATCTGCTTGAGATTCTCCCCTTCTCTCCCTGCCCCTCCCTCGGCTTGCACACACTCTTTCTTGAATAAATAAATAAGTCCTTTTTTAAAAAGGCCAACTGAAATAATGATACATGCATAGAAAAACTAAGCAAACTGGAGAGGAAAAAAGAAACAATTATTAGCTCCAGAAAAACAAACTGTATAAAAAAGGAAAAGCAAACATAGTATGTTACATGACTGACAGAAGCAATATTTGCAGAGTAATAACTGCTATGGTCTGAATGAGTCTCTCCAAAAGTCCTTTTTTAAAAAATTTCTTTGAAGTTTGTTTATTTTTTTAGTAATCTCTACACCCAACATGGGGCTTGAACTCATTATCTCAAGATCAAGAGCCATATGCTCTTCTGACTCAGCCAGCCAAATGCCTATCAAAAATAATTTTTTGAGGGGCACCTGGGTGGCTCAGATGGTTAAGTGACTGCCTTTGGCTCAGGTCATGATCCCAGGATCCAGGGATCAAGCCCCAGATCTGTCTCCACTGCTCTGTGGGGAGCCTGCTTCTCCCTCTCCCTCTGCCTGCCACTCCTCCTGCTTGTGATCAAATAAATTAATAAAATTCATTTGTTGAAACCAAATCTCTTGTAATTGGGAGGTGAGTTGTCTGGAAGGCGATTACATCATGAGGGCAGAGCCACCATAAATGAGATGAGTACTCTGATGGAAGAGATCTTCTGCTATAGGAATACAACCGGAAGTCTGTGACCTAGAAGAGGGGCCCAAACTATCTATGCTGGCACCCGGATCATAGACTTCCGACCTCCAGAACTGTGAAACTAACTTTCTGTTTGCTTATAAGGTAGCTAATCTGTGGTATTTTGTTACAGCACCCCAAGTGGACTAAGTCATTATAATATAAACACTGAATATGGATATAGCAAGAAATTGTGAAGATGGAGGTAAGTATGGGCAGTAAAGTATTTAATCTTTATCTTTCATAACAAGAAGTTATTTTAACAACAACAGCTAAAATATAGTGCATACTCTGGACCAAACTGTTCTAAATATATTACATATATTACTAATTTTATCCTCTTTCAATCTATGAGCAGATAGTATTATCCCCATTTTACAGACAAGGAAACTAAGTACAGAGGTTAATTGATTTGCATAAGTCACAATGCAGATCTCAGATTTGAACCAGAATAGCCAGTATCCAGGAAATCAATTTCAGATGGGGGGAGGGGAATAGCAACACAAGCATACAATTTTTTCTTTTTTTTTAATTTGACACAGAGAGAGAGTGAGCCAGCACAAGTAGGGAGAGTGGAAGAGGAAGAAGCAGGCCCTCCACTGAGCAGGGAGTCTGATGTGGGACTCAACCCCAGGATCCCAAAATCGTGGCCTGAGCCGAAGGCAGTCGCTTAACCAACTGAGCCACCCAGGCGCCCCAACACAAGCGTACTATTTAGAAACATGAAGGTAAATACAAGAAAATGCTGAAATAAGGTGGTGACCTAACTGAGGGTGGTAAAGTGTGAAACAAGGAATTACTGATTCATTATATGCTTTATACTTCTGTGACTTTTCAAATTATTTGCAAAAATTAATTTGACAAAAATAAAAGTTTAAAGTTGGGAGGCAAATTGGTATGAAGGTAGAGGAGATCAGCTGTGAGGTGATAGTAGATTATGCAAATATAAATGATCTTGTAGGTAACTAGAATGGGGCTCAGTTGTGAATTTCCCAGAGACCTATACATATAAATCAGAAGAATGATGAATTCCCAAACACAAATTCATAGGAAAAAAAAAGTGACAAGAACTAAATTCATAGAGAAAAAAATGTAGCCAGTATACTAATCCTTCAGGATTCACCAATCTAGGAAAAGAAAGGATTGGTGAACAAGGCATAAGGAATAAACAGCCATAGAGCTAAGAGTTAGGATAGGGTAATTAGGCAATTACTATACAATATATTGTTGTGACATTAACTGGATCTAATAAACTTGATATGGCAATGAT